TGCATGTCTTACCAGGTCGTCACTCCATCTAGTGGGGGGTCGCCCTACACTACGCCTACCGGTACGAGGCTGCCACTCGAGAACCTTTCTTCCCCATCGGTTACGGTTCTTCGAGCTATATGGCCGGCCCATTGCCACTTCAGCTTACTAATCTATTGGGCTATGTCGGTCACTCTGGTTTTACTGCGGGTATCCTCATTTCTGAGTCTATCACGCAGAGAAACTCCGAGCATAGCCCTCTCCATAGCTCGCTGAGAGACCTTGAGCGTCCTCATACGGCCAGCAGTGAAGGACCACGTCTCCGATCCGTAAGTCATCACTGGCAACACGCACTGGTTGTACACTTTAGTTTTCAGAGATTGAGGTATACCTGATGAGAAGATGTGTCGTAATTTCCCGAACGCTGCCTAGCCGAGTTGAATCCGTCGATTTACCTCTCGGTCTTACCTAGTCGGACTATTTGTCCCAGGTAAACGTACTCGTCAACAACTTCGAGCTTAGTGCTCCCAACAACTACCAGCATTGGTGTGACATGGACATTAAACATGATCTTTGTTTTGTCCATGTTCATCTTAAGACCTATACTATTGAAGTCATTGAGCATAGTGCTTAGGTCCTCCAGCGATTCTGCCATAAGGACTATATCGTCAGCAAATCGAATGTGAGTAATGTACTCGCCATTGATGTTAAAACCGTATCCTTTCCAGTCCAGTAGCTTGAAAACGTCTTCCAACGCAGCGGTGAAGAGTTTCGGGGATATAACGTCACCCTGTCTTACACCTCTCTGCAGTTAGATAGGTTTTGAACTCTGGTTCTGTACTCGGATAGCCATCGTAGCCCTACTGTAAAAACACTTCAGCACTTCGATATACCGACAGTCAACTTGGAATCAAAGGCTTTCTCGTAGTCCACATACGCCAGGCAAAGTGGCAGATTGTACTCTTCGGTCTTCTGTACAATCTGCCACAGGGTATGTATGTGGTCTATGGTACTAAAGCCTTTTCGGAAACCGGCTTGTTCGGGAGGCTGGAAGTCGTCGAGTCTGCGTGCGAGACGATTTTTTTTATTTTTTTTTATTTTATAGAATAGGGTGACAAACGAGCACACAGTCCACCTGATGGTAAGTGGTTGCTGCGGCCCATAGACATCTACATCTATCCTCCATTAAAAATCAAAATGCAGATGCGTTGTCACCCGTGAGGACTGAGATGGAATGCCTCGTTTCCAGTAAAAAGGGTCTCCGGTTCTCTACACTCACCATACGAAATACAGCAGCATTAAGCTACTATTTCACGCTGGTATTCTGTGAGAGCGTGGTCCTTCCCCGGTCGAGCCGACCCATTCGTGCTACAACTATACTACTAATATAACTGCAGAATGGCTCTACCACGTAAAAAAACGATTCGTAATGACTCTCGAAAACAGCACGTAGACGCGGCTCAGAAGGGAAATCGGTCTGTAGTTTTTCAAGAGAGCGTTGTCGCCTTTCTTAAAGAACAAGACCACCGCACTTCTGCTCCACGCCTCCGGAGTAGTGCCACCATGAAGGACGGAATTGAAGAGCTTCTGAAGGACTTCAAGTACCGGTGTTCCACCCGCTTTCAGAAGCTACGCTGTAATTCCATCCTCGCCTGGGGCCCTGCCGTTTTTAAGGCGCTGGAGAGCCATTCTAATCTCGCTCAGACTGACGTCCGGGATATCATCGGAATAGTGTCGGGTAGGACTTGCTCTTAGATCGTTACTCACACTTGCGTGTGGCTCCAACGATCATGTATACAGTTGCCCATAGAACCTCTCAATTTCACTCAAAATCTCAGGTGTCCCAGAAACGATGCTGCCACACTCAGTCTTCAGCTTTGACAGTTGGCTCTTTCTGGCAGACAGATCTCTCGCAAAGACTTTGGAGCCCTGGTTCCGCTCGATCGCTAATGAATGACGAGGCGCAAAACCATTGCAGCCTCATCTCCCGTCTAACAGCCATGAGATTAAGAGTGTGATCGGAGAGTTTTTGTGTTCTTCTGCGGCGGGTCTTGCAGAACTTAGCTCCGACCGCATGGACAGTTTCCACGAGCTTGTCATTCATATCGTCCACTGCATTGCAATCTTCTAGGTACTGAAAGCGGTTACGTAACTCGAGCTGAAAGGTTTCGGGATTCTGGATCAGAGCACGAGGGGGACGGAGCGTTGACTTCATTAGACGAGACCTCTCCAATTTAACGTTTAGGTTCAGTGTGCCTCTAACCATTCGGTAATCGCTGCCAGTTTTCACCCTTGCGATCACTGAGACATCACTGAACAGTTGGCGTCTGGTCGTCATAATGAAGTCAATCTCATTTTTTGTCGAACCGTCGGGGCTCGACCAGGTCCACTTCCTGTGGGGCCGCTTCTGGAAGAAAGAGTTCATCATAAAGAGTCCCTCTTTCTCCATAAAGTCAGCCATCTGCTGGCCCCTACGGTTCCGTTGCCCTACTCCAAATTTCCCTAACTTCGGCTCACCGCCTTCTCTTGTGCCTAGTTTTGCGTTGAAGTCTCCCATCAACACCGTGTAGTGGGTTTTGGAGGAATGCATGGCTCCAGAAATATCCTCATACATTTCCTCCACCTCCTCATCGGGATGTGCCGAGGTTGATGCGTAGACCTGTATGACCTTCAGCAAATACCGTTTGGTGATTCTGAGTATCAGGTTCGCGAACCTCGTCGACACACTCCCAGCTTTAAATAAATGAAAAATGATTTAACAGTAGGATTAAAAACATCGTGTCGCTATAAAAGATTTTTAAAGTTATTGGTTTCCAAAACCAAAAATGAAAATTTTAAATATCATAATAAACATTATTGTAAAATATTTAAAAAGCTATCAATTTATCCAAAAAAATTATTTAACAAAAACAAATATAAATTTAAAGATTTTCAAAATAAAACTAAAACTATTCAGCAAATCACAAATAACGAGACTAACAAAAATTCACGAAAATATAGAAATGTTCAACTAAAAATACCAGATAAACATATATTATGTGATCCTAAAATAGTAGCGAACTGATTCAATACCTTTTTTACGTTTAAATAATAAATGCGTAAATATACGAAATCATTGTATTTTCACATAAGGACATCTATAGGAAATTTACACTTAAATAACTGTAATTTCAATAAAACAACTTTAACAAAATCTTTCAAAAACAGTCTCTTCTTAAGCCCAGTAGAAACGAATGAAATGAATACCATAATAAAAAATCTCAAAAATAAATCACCCTTCGGCATTGATGAAATGACTCCTATTTTGATTAAAAATCTCCTATACAATATTGGTAAACCAATATTTTTCAGAAGGTATCTTTCCAGATGCCCTCAAAATATCCCTTAATCAAACCCTTGGCATAAGGGCGTCATAATCGCTTCAGCGACAAAGCCTTTTTTCATATCAAGAATAAAAAAACCCCTTTCATAAAAAGGGCGAACTTACTGACATAAATAATTATTGACTTATAGCTCTGTTACCTACGTATGCTAAAATATTTGAAGCGGCTATGGCGAAACGTCTCTGTTCATTTTATGAAAAGTACAAAATTTGACATGTAAACTAAAATGACCACAGGAAAAACCACTCTACCACCTTAGCAATTTATAAATATGTAAAAAATATCCTAGACAAAATCGAATATAAAAAAATCGCAGTAGACCTATTGCTCGGTATGAGTAAAGCCTATGACAGAGTCTGTTATAGAACTCCATTGGATAAACTGTATCAAATAGGAATTAGGGGAGTAACTCATAATTGGTTCAAATCCTATCTTGATAACCGCTTCCAATATGTAGAAAATTAAAAACCGACTTCGAGACAGGCTAAATTACTCATGTCCGATCGGATGCAACCCTCATTACTGGCTCTATCCCTCAAGGTAGCGTTTTGGGTTGTATTTTGTTTCTTGTTTACATAAATGATCTCCCAAACATACTGGACGATCTATGTGTGCTCTTTGCCAATGACATCTCCATCTTAATCTCTTGCATTAATTTCACAGATTTAACTACAAAATTAAACTGTACGTTAGATAAAATTACTGGCTGGCTACAATTACATAATTTACAACTTAACCTTAATAAAACTAAAATTAATTAATTTAAACCCTACCAAAAAACTGGTTTACAAATATTGTTTAACTATAAAAACACAAAACTAGAAACTGTTAACTCTGACACTTTGTTAGAAACAAGACAGAAACAGCATATACAAAAAGTTGCAAAAAATTATCCTCATTTATTTATGCTCTGCAACACCTTAAGCGTGTGGCAGATTTTAAGACTGCCCTTGCGGCTTACTATGTACATGCTCATCCGTACTCTCCTATGGCATCATCTTGTGGGGAAACTCTTGCGATGTAAACAAATTATTTATATTACAAGTGTCTACGAATATTAATAAATTTGGACAAAATGGAATCATGTATTAAAAATAAAATTTTAACACTTACGTCTATCTATATCCTCAAATCTTGTAAATTCGTTAGGAAACACCCAAAACTCTACTCACCTATTAAAAACACTGAAAGAAATAATAGAAATTTATATAAGCTTAAGATACCCTTCTCCAAATTAAAATTAGTGTCGAACAGCCCTCACGTTATGCCAATAAAGATTTATAAACATTTACCGCAAGAATCCTGGAAAATCCTGTGCAATTTAATAAACAATAAAAAAATTCTTATTATATTTTAAATTTAAATGAATTTTTTGACGATAAATAACGACAAAGTAAGAATACTTCGACTAGCTACATTGAATTTCAAATTGAATTAATTTATATAAAATAATATTGAATGTTATTGATATGATAATTTATAATTTATGTTTAAAAATTAGATAATACGAAAATAGTTAGCCCTCTAGTGTTTCTATGCCCTTACAGGGCGTCACATGTACACCTATCAAAATTGTACATTCTTAAATTAGTAATGTGACATGCAATAAACAATTTGAGTTTGAATTCTTTGTTTCAGTACATTAACATGAATTTCTTGAGTTCCGACGTGGTAGTGGATTTGCGACACAACAACATTTCTACGGTGAAGCTATGGGGCCCGAGTGACGGTAACGCGCAGTTTCTCCTTGATGACAATCCGTTCATGTGCGACTGCCACCTGCCGGCACTGCAACGCGCGCTGCTCGCGGGTGCTGTTGGAAGTGGGCCGCGGCTAGTGGCAACGCGTGCGCGATGTGCAGCGCCACCAGCGCTGAATGGGATGAACCTGGTGTCGGTGCCGCACTCGCTGCTGGAGTGCGCGCTGCCGCCGCCCATCTGCCCGCCCGCCTGCAGCTGCTCGCTGCGCACCGACTTCCTGGACCTGGACTGCACCGCCCTTCCTACCCTCGCCGCCCTGCCTGCGCCCGCCGCACACGGCCTCGCTGTCGCTCATTTACGTCTTCGCCGGGTCCCCGAATCTCTCGAATCGCTCCCGCGATATTTCCGCTTACTCAATCTCACCGCGCTTAATATTACCGAAGTACCGCCTTTGCCCCCGGACGTAGAAGTAGACCTCATTGATAATCGGTTGACGCGAGTTCCGACGGCATTGCTGACGAACAATACGCTACGGTTGGCGTTAAATCCTCTCTCTTGCGACTGCGGTGGCACCGTAGACGTGGTCGCATTGCAGCGAGCGAGTTTGAACATTCTAGATTACGGTGACGTGACGTGTTCGAATGGCGAGACGTTGCGGAGCATTGCGACGGAGACACTCTGCGAGGCGCGAGATGCCGCCGTTCTCGGGGTTTCGCTCGCCATCTTGATCGTGATCGCGGTTATTATCGTCGTGCTGCTGCGTCGCTACCGCACCGAATGCCTGCTGTGCGCTCACCGTTGTGGCTGTTGTCCGCCGGACGACGACGACGATGAGAAAGAGTACGACGCTTTCATCTCGTTCGCGCACAAGGACCTGAAGTTCGCGGAGGAAATGGTGACGAAACTCGAAGCGTCCCCACATTCGTTACGCATATGCGTGCACTACCGGGACTGGCCGCTCGGTGATTGGATCCCGGCGCAGATTTCTCGCTCCGTAGAGCGGTCGCGGCGCACGGTAGTCATTCTGTCGAAACACTTCTTATCGTCAGTGTGGGGGCTGCTGGAGTTCCGAGAGGCGCATCTGCGTGCGCTCAGCGAAGGTCACGCTCGCGTCGTGATAGTGCTGCTGGACGACGTGATGTCGGACGAGCGTTTAAACGACGAACTGCGCGCGTACCTGTCCACCAACACGTACCTGCACCGGGACGACCCGTGGTTCTGGGCGAAGCTGGCGGACGCGCTGCGGCGGCGCGGCGGCGTGGCGGCAGCGATGCGACGGTTTGCGAAGAGCCGCGCTCGCGCCGCGCCCGCCCCCCCGCTCCCTGTCGATAAGCTCGTGCGCTCTGCTCTCGACGCGAAGCTCATGCAAAACGGAAATATCATAAATGCCGCCTTCACTGCGCCTTCACTCTAGAGCTGGGTTACTGCATTTAAGAAACTTTTAGCGTCTCCGTGAATACGTCATAAAATTTGCTTCATATTGGAAGACAGTACAGAAAACTGATGATAGCAAAATCGGGTGATATAGTTTAGTGTTACAGCTACATAACTATTGATTTCATCCAAAATTTAATTACACCATTCGATAGCTAAAGGATCAATGCGTTTCTTACGATGAGTGTGGACAACGAATCATGGCGCGTGACGGAGGGAGCAACGCTGCCGTTTTGAGGTCGTTTCGTTACACGTAACCACGTAAAACACACGGCCGTGTCCACGACACAGAGATACCCCGATTTTTACATTAAGATTTAGAAATTAGAAGAGACATACTACTGTAGCAATGTTGTGTTTGCAGCACGAATTCGTCTGCTCGACGTCTGCTCGACGGGGGAAGATCCACACTCTCACAGAATACCAGCGTAAAGTCTCAGATCATCTGAATGCTTCTGTATCACATGGTGAATGTTCGTATGTGAAAAATAGCCGTTCTATCTTAATCATCGGGAGTGGTTATCACTCAGTACTTAAAAAGAAGAAAAAAAAGCACAAAAAGAAAAATAAACTTCATTTCGTTATTCTAGCACTTAAATCCCAACTAACTACTCAGTAGAAAAGGTATACTTTTAATACAATAAGAATCTCAATATTAATTTTCAATAAAATTATCAAAATTTCTGTAAAAAAGTGAATAAAGCAAAACAGAAATCGTAAATTAGTCGTACAAAACATATACGATTGCGTAATGCGTATGCATTTCATTAAGGCTGATTGTAGACATTTGTAGATATAAGACTAAATGTGTGAAACTATGTAAAGCAAACTTATATTAAATATGAAATATACAACGTATGTTTATGACTCGTATATTTAATTTCTGATAAAGGCAATAACTAAAATGTAAACGCTTGACCGACATAAAACATAACGTCATACTTGAATGTAAGTTTACAAATAGTGTAAAAAAAAGGAAATTACTTGTAATCTTATTATCTAAGAAAAATATGTTAGTTGCGTGATATATTTAAGGAGCCATGGCGTAGAAGTTTACATTGAGTACTTTATATAATTAGATTAAAAGAGTTACGTGTAAGAATATAGAATCTCAGTTACAAGATTTGTAAATAATATTTTATACTGTATATTTTTGTATAGTTGTTTGTTCCATTATAATTGAATACTTTAAGATGCCACTGTCTATTGTTGGTTATTCGTACGTTTCCTCCAGGAAGGCATAGAATTATTTTCAGTTATCTAAATATCCCAGCTTAGAGTGAATCTAGTCAACCAGCTGGCAGCGGCGGGAAGGTGCACTGATATGATTATCGAGCGATACACGCTATTAAAATACGTTTAGTTCAGACTTGAATTCTGCGATGAATTACCTATTCCATATGTCTTCTGTTTTAACAAATATTATAAAATAAATATAAGCTTAGTTTGTAAAACCCACCGAATGTTGAGGTGTTGGATATTCAAATTTATTTGAAGAAATAAATCGAGCCTGTACCATTTGCAAGTTTCAAAATATCGTAACTGATATTCTTAAATGAAGTGTTTCGAGAATTTATAAGGGGCAGCTTCTCTACGCTTTCACTCACTTTGTATGTCGTAATGGTGTTTAATCAATATTGATTAAGATATTATGTTAATTTTAACAGTTTCAAATGAATATAGAAAACAACTACGTAATATTATGTTTCTTTCTTGGAAAATAACTTTAAAAGTACGTATTTTTAATATATCTGTCGACGTTTCTTTGCGGAATGGCCGCAAAACTCTGTAAGTTGAAAAATATATAGTGTTAACAGGATTTCTACATGTCTCTTTCCTTAAATATAATACAAAGTGAGCTGCCCGAATTCGATGCAATGGACATTGCAGACTTTATTTGACTATTCCAACATTACCATAATCAAATAAAAAAGACTAGCAGTTACGTGATGTGATAACGCGCAAACGGCTAATGTTGGTCACAATTTTTATTTAGATTTTTTGTTATTCAGATTCCAATAACCATTAGCCCTAGCGATTAGCATTAGCTAAAGCGCTGGTAATTTATTTGAAGATTTCAATGAACTTGTAACTTAGACAAAATAATGAGTAAAGTGTATTTTTTATAAACTGGTTGTCGAATACAATTTATTTTTTCACTGTTTCAAACAGAAAAAAACAGACAGAACTACTCAATAAATATTTTTGATTTAAAAAAAAATTGACAGCAATGTAAAATAAACAAATCCATCACCCAATTTCGTCTCATAGATGTAATAGTTAGAGTTAGAGGCAACTAAGGGGTACTCAAAAAAGATCTTATGTGGTTTCCGACAGGTGATGGTAGTAAGTATCTCGTCTACACCACACTTAATAACCAGACAGGCGAAGGGAAGTAGTATGCGTAAACAGTAAGAAAATATTTGGTATTGAGACCCCATATTCTCCTGCCAAGCATAATGATTGGGGCAAATGGAATAGACCCACAAAAAATTTAGTCTAAAATAGTCTCATAGAGACAGAATTTTCATTGATGATTTACATAAATATATAATAAATCGGAGCAATATTACAAAAGCAATAAATTTTTTTCCTATATAATATGTTGAAATATATGTGATATTTGATAACGATTGTTTTATTAATATCTATCAGTTCCTAAACATAATAAGCTTTTTGTAAATATACAAGTTTTTTTACGTTTAACGTAAACGTAAAACAACTTGTATATTTCACGTAAAAAGTCTCTCCGGTTCTCTACACTCACCATACGAAACACAGCAGCAAGCTACTATTTGACGCTGGTATTCTGTGAGAGCGTGGTCCTTCCCCGGTCGAGCCGATCCATTCGTGCTACAACTATACTAGGTACTAATATAACTGCAGCATGGCTCTACCACGTAAAAACACAAATTCATCCATGACTGAAAATTGGTCTTTTCTGTTTAAATTTTCTTGTCATAGGCCATGTACACTCAAATTTGATAGATAAAACACACGGAACTCGAAAAAATCGCTACTTACCTAAACCGAGCCGTCAATTCAGAAATAAAAACACAAATTCATCCATAACTTGACTGAAAATTGGTCTTTTCTGTTTAAATTTTCTTGTTATATAGTGAAATTAATTGCCTACCGTATTAAACAATAGTTTTCTTAGTAAATTTTCACCGTTAAAATCTAATTTTCATATGATTTGTTTTCTTATAATCGTATTTTCATAGAATTTTTAAACTTTTTAAAATATTCGATTTCTCCGCTCCTCTTAGGCTTATAATGTCCGTTTCGTGTAGAAACTGCCATCGACACTTAAATTTGATAGATAAAAGTAGTTAGTTAGTACCAGTTCTGGCTCACTGAGTCAGAAGTGGTACAGCGTTCGTGGACTCACGAATCACGATGCTAAAAAAAAACCGCTAATCTGAATCATCAATAAAACACATTATCTAATTTTGTTACAATTTTTTTTGCAAAATACAAAATCTTATTACTTATTATCTATAAAATAGGAGCAAAACATCTCATCCACTAAAATATCGTTGTACAATGTGTTCCCTGTAAATATACTCGTAAAACTATGTATTAAACATCCATGAAACTTATATAGCAAATACATTAAGCAATATTCGCCACAAACTGATACAAAATCTTATTACTTATTATCTATAAAATAGGAGCGAAACATCTCATCCACTAAAATATCGTTGTACAATGTGTTCCCTGTAAATATACTCGTAAAACTATGTATTAAACATCCATGAAACTTATATAGCAAATACATTAAGCAATATTCGCCACAAACTGATACAAAATCTTATTACTTATTATCTATAAAATAGGAGCGAAACATCTCATCCACTAAAATATCGTTGTACAATGTGTTCCCTGTAAATATACTCGTAAAACTATGTATTAAACATCCATGAAACTTATATAGCAAATACATTAAGCAATATTCGCCACAAACTGATACAAAATCTTATTACTTATTATCTATAAAATAGGAGCGAAACATCTCATCCACTAAAATATCGTTGTACAATGTGTTCCCTGTAAATATACTCGTAAAACTATGCATTGAACATCCCTGAAACTTATATAGCAAATACATTAAGCAATATTCGCCACAAACTGATACAAAATCTTATTACTTATTATCTATAAAATAGGAGCGAAACATCTCATCCACTAAAATATCGTTGTACAATGTGTTCCCCGTAAATATACTCGTAAAACTATGCATTGAACATCCCTGAAACTTATATAGCACATACATTAAGCAATATTCGCCACAAACTGAAGTCCACTCATTCTGAATCCTATCAACATTCCAGTTCCATCTTTAACAATTCCTTTTTAAAAACTCTAGATGATATCGTACAGGTGATCGTCCATATGAATCAAAATATTGACCAACGTCATACCCAATGTGACCCTGGTTTATCATCCGTATCCAAGTTGCATATTATATACATTGGTACATGGGCAGTCTATTAGCAGCATAAACATTATTTTCTAGACCGGAGTGAATCTTTTTCAGATGTTCTTGTACATCTAGAGTACAGTACCAATAGAGTAGATTATAGAGAGAGTAGATTACAGTACCAATCTACTCAATTACTAACATAGGAATGATCAATTATAGTGATTTCTAAATATTAAATTGCATTCTTTTGAGTTATACAAATCGTATTTGAGTCATCGATACACTGAACAAGACAAAACACGAAGGAATGTTGAGATATACAACAGAATGTGAGATAAGCTTGTTGACGCATAAAGTTATTATCAGTTTCACTGCAGAAATTCTTTAGATTAGAATTATTACTTTCTGGTGCTATATAAGACCGAGCAGCTGCAGTCATGGAGTTAGTGTATGCTCGTTTGACCGCAGTGGATCTATCAATACTGCATTTGTGTTACTTCAACGCATCAAAGGCCATGGATGTAAGTATTTATTCTATTGACAAACTTACTTTT